CTCCCTCCCCTCTCTCACTCTCTCTTTAAAAAAAAAATTATTTGTTGGGGCTGAGGTTGTGGCTCCGTAGCAGAGCACTCACCAAGCAAGTGCAAGGCCCTGGGTTCAATCCTCGGCACCACATAAAAATAAATAAATAAAACAAAGGTATTGTGTCTAAATATAACTAAAAAACAAATATTTTTTAAAAATATTTATTGATTGGTAAGGCAGGGTGAGGATTTATTTGCTCTATCACTAACATCTGAATTTCAGAAGTCTCAGAGCATTTGGCCTCAGCCTCTGCAGGAAGCTCCATTAGTTCCAAACTTAGTTCTAACTATTCAAGGGAAAAAATATCAGCAACTGTAGCACAGAGCCAAATGAGAGACACAGGCTTCTAGGATTCACACAGTCCCTACTGTCTCCTTGGGTCTCCTGGGCAGAATTTTCCTCAGAGACATACTATGTAGAGCTACTTTTAGGTATTTGGGTGGCTCATGGGTGGGATCTTGTTCTTCTGCAGCCAGCACACAAGATATAATCCACAGAACATAGTTGTCATAGCCTATAAAAGCCTGCAATAGTGGGACAATGAGCAACCTGCCAGGGAATTTTCATGTATTATCTCCAGTCCTCAGATCAACCCTGTGAGAGATTTAGTGCTATCATCTTTTCACAGATAAATTGTGCCCTGAGGGGTTAACTAACTAAGTACCCTCCCTTTGCCCAGTTTTTCAGTTTAGGGCAAGATACTCAGTACAAGTAACTGCAGAGCTAGACAAGGCAGGGCTGGGTTTTTAAAAACATTTTTAGTTATAAATGGACACAATAACTTTACTTATTTTTTAAGAGTGCTGAGGCTCAAACCCAGTGCCTCACATGTGTTAGGAAAATGCTTTACCACTGAGCCACAACCCTAGGACTGGGGTTTTGATGTCAGCTGTCCTTCTTTGGGGCTACTAGAGTTGTCTCCCTTTTAGGATGCTTTATTAAAGACTAACCCTGTGCTTTATATTGGAGGAGAGCCTGTCTACAAACACAAATCCATCTTTACATTTCTTGTGTGGAGCAGGTACTACTTTGCCCAACTCATAGTGATCCAAGTTCTCTGAGGATCAGCAGTTCTTGAGGGAGGGGGCTGAACTCATACTCTCAAGAGGGTTGTAAGGCCCTGGGACAGGCTCCTGAGACCTGCTGCAGAATGCAGCATAGGATGAGAATCCATTTGCCTGGAAAGAGGCTGGACCTGAAGACAGGGAATGGCCTCATTCCCATGGAACAAATGTCTGATGATGGCCAGACCAAACTGCATATGTGCAAGTCAGTCGTTTTTTTTTCAGCTTTGTTATTTGAGAAGGTTTTACATATTCTCAGAAGGCCAGCTGAGGTCCCCAGAGGTAGCTAGCTTCTAAAACATGCACAGTAGCTTCCATGGATGAACAGGAATTGGGAAATGGGATGATGAAAAGCAAAATCAAAACCATAAGACGAGGAGCAGCTGGAATGAAGCAGGGCTAGGAGCTTCATTCTGGCCTGAACAGAAGACAGGAAATACCAGGAATAGACAGAAACAGGCATAGTAGCCAATAGTTGTGAGAAATAGGGAGAAGGGAATTTGGGGTCTAGTGGGATGACTGAGGCATTGGTGGCAAGTTTGCCCAACTATTTCCCAGCTGTGCCTGGAAGAGAAGGTGAGGAGTAGGAGATGGATGCCACAAGTTTCAGTTGCCTAGGATTTCCACATTTGAAGCCCAGAGAAGGCAGTAAACAGGATAGGTAGCTCCTGCTGCTAGAAGCTTGCCTTAGGACCATCTCTCTCCCCAGGACATTCCAGCCTGGTTCCTTCATCCAGTCTGGGTTCTTCCTGCTCCATGCTGGGTAAGGATTCCTTTGGCCCTGGTAGTTGCCTCCTAACTCCATCATTGGGACACTGAGCAGATAGGGCATGCAGGATTTCAGGCAAAATTCCTATTCTTGGATTCTAAGTTACAGCATCCACTTCACTCACTACCACCCCAAAGCCCACAATGGTAATGGGAGAGAAAACGTTCTTGGCTTCTCCAGTTCAAGTCCACCCAGACCCAGAATGTCAAGGGAAGGTGAGGGTTCCCAGGTGACATACCCATGTTCATCCGGTACAACCGTATAGCTTCCGTGAGCTCAGGAATTTCTAGAATTTCCACTTCAGCTTCTAACACATCTATGTTGGAGAAATTATCTGGTAGCAAAATCTTGTGTGAACGGAGAAAATTCACTTGAAAAACAAAGGGAAACAACATGAGTTAACAAGGCTACTTCTGATTTCACTGGAGGTACAGGTTCTGGCAGGTTTTTGGTTTTTCAACTTATCCTAGGTTCTCCTTGTTCTGGAACAATTTCTAAACATACCTGATCAGCTTTGATTCATTGGCTTTCAAGGTGAAAGACCCCAAATTACTTTGCTTTCCTGTGTTTGGAATCCTGTGTTGGAATCCCAAGCCAGGCCCTTATGGTGAGCATAATGACTCTGAGACTTATCCTGTGAGTTTGACCCCAGAGTGGTCATTCCAAAGGAGGGAGTTGTCTTGCTGCTTAGAGAGAAGGGGCCTGGCCAAGCCTGGGCTGGCAAGTGGCACTTTGAGTTTGTCCCAGCCTGGATTGCAGTGTGAGAGGCAGAGATGGAGCCATCTCTAATGTCTTGTGTGAATTAACCTGGAGATTCAGAAGCATATCACAGACAACTTCCTAGTGACTTGAATCTGAATGGCTGTGATTCCAGACATTTGAGCCCTTGCATCAACTTGAGTGTTTATTGCCTTCTCTGGGCAGTAGAAGCTGCTGACTGCAGCTTGGAATCAGGGAGCTATTCCCTGATTCTGCTAGCTATCCCTAGCAGAGCTGGTCCTGAGGCAATGGGGAGAGGGAGCTCTTTCCCATGCAAGGTTGGAGATCTCATCCCTCCTTAGGTTACAAGCTCACACTGACCATTCTGCATGATTCTGGGAAAACTATCACCATTCACCCTTCTTCCCTTGTATTCTGAGCAGGTAGGAACATCCCTTGAAACAATTCTATTTCCTCATTCCTAACAGGCACTTAGGCCTGGAACTCAGTTGGAGATATTAAGGGCAGAGAAAGAGTTCAGCTGAACACTCTGACCTTTACACTGACTTCTGAGGCCTCTGACATCACCTCAGGGAGCTTCAGTGCCTCTTTACAGTCAGGCCATCCCCAAAGAAATAGGAACTAAAATAACTCTGATCCAAGTGAGAGTCTGTACTGCAATGTGCTTGCCTCCAGAAAAACTGTGGTGCTTTTGCACCTCTGCCCAAGGAAACTCTGAGGCCCTATGCACCACACTGGGGCTCTGAGGAATATGGGATGTGGGGTGGGGAATGGTGGGTGGCCCCATCAGCCTGCTCCATCCATGGACAGAGCAATCACCAATGAAGCGGAACTCGCTGCACTCGCACTCGATCAGGGCCACAGTCTCAGCCAGCCACAGCAGGTTGTCTTCAGTCACTAGGCTTGGATACTTGGCCACCAGGTCTAAGGGCAGGAAGCAGTAGTGCACTTCCTCTTCTGTGTCTAAAAGTGGTGTGTCCATGAGCCCCAAAGGTGCCTTGTCATGTAGGCCTGGAGGAGAACACACAGGAGGCATCACCTGAGACCAGGACTCTCATTATCCAGGGTTCCCAGAAGAAGCTGGAAAGACCACCCAGGAGAGTGCCTGCCACACACCTCCTTTCCCTCTCTCTCTTTTCAGATGTAGCCCTAAGGTTCAGAAGGAGTGAGGTGGGGACTAGAACATGGAAATCTGTTTTTTTCTATAGACATTGAAGGACTATAGGATACATTGTAACATTTTGGCTTATGTACCCAGAGTCACTAAATTTATTTGTATATTTAGTTCTTTTTAATGGACCAAACCAACCACTGTGACTTATAGATAAAACATGATTTTGACTCTCCTGGAAGTTCAAAACCCATCAATAATCACGAATGCCTTGTTCTAGTATCCCAGATTGGCTGACTATGCTGCAAGGCACTCATCAGACAGAGATCATTTGGAGACATTCTTTGGTGGCTGGAGGTAACTTGAAAGGATGGTGAAGTTCCTGACTTCTGAGTGGGAGTGGAATGCATCCTAACTTTGCCTAAGTGAAACCAGTGTGTACTGGAAACAGCATGGAGGAGGATCTGAGCAGCAGTGAGCAAGCAGCCATAGAGAGGGCATGAGGTAAAGTACTAGGTCAAAAGAGATGACCAAGAGGTAGAGAAATCATCCACAATGAACTCAAAGAGATGGGACTATTGGGACTATGGAACTATTCTCTGGATGGAAGTCCCTTCTGTTAAGGTGAGAAGAGGGGAAGCTGGTGTGGTCTTCAGAGGGGCCAGCCTATCTATGATTGTACCTGTGAAGGCTGGGCTTTTTATTGGAAATTCTGAGGGTTTGCTGATACACTTCCAGGTTCGCCAGTAGTTCAAAGATGCTCTCTCAGCAACAGGTATATCTGCAGGCCGCACACGGAGGTGGTGTTTCCCTTCCTTCAGATTATCTAGAGTCTATGAGATAAAGAATATTGCTGCCTTGAAAATATGAACCTAGTAACTATCTATCAGTTTTAGAATGAATACCAGGAAAAACAGTATGTGACTCACTTTGGTAAAGTATTTTTAAATAAATCAACTCAATCATAAAAATGTAAAAATTTAGGACTATAAAATGAAATACTAATATTCAAAATCCCAATGACTATATCTCTCTTTTTCTTTTTAAAGTGTTGTAAATGGACGAATGCCTTTATTTTATTTGTTTATTTTTATGTAGTGCTAAGGATAGAACCCAATGCCTCACACATGCTAAGCAAGCACTCTGTCATTGAGTTACAGCCCTAGCCCTCTCTGATTCTTTTTTAAAATTTATAAATAAAAGTTTAGCCAGGAGTGGCGGTGTATGCCTATAATCCCAGTGGCTCAGGAGGCTGAGGCAGGAGGATTGCAAAATTCAAGGCCAGCCTCAGCAGCTTAGTGAGACCTTATCTCAAAATAAAAAATAAAAAAAAGGCTAGGGATGTGGCTCAGTGGTTAAGCACCCCTGGGTTAATACCTGTTACCTAAATAAATAAATAAATAAATAAGGTTTATTTGGCTCATAGTTCTGAAAGCTGGGAAGTTCAAGATTGTGAGGCTATCTGGTGAGAGGCTTCTTGTTGGTGGGATTTTGCAGAATCTCAAGGCAGAGTGGGGCATCACACAGTGCGACAGAAAATCTATCTCTTCTCATTCTTGAAACAATTTTTTGGTCTTATAATTTTATATTGTATAATGGTAATTTATCTTGTAAAATCTAGGGAGTTAATTTATATTTAAACATTTAAAATTTGATTTCTTTTGCTATAATTTTTCTTTGATAGTTGAAAAACCTTTCCAATCTGTTCTCTTTGTGATTTGGTCATGGTGTTTATCCTAATTCTGGGAGGTGAGCTAAGTAATGAGGCCAAGGTGTAATGTCACAGGGTTCCTCATTTTTCAAGTCACTCTCTCACACATTTGCTCATTTACCCTGATACAACTCTGTGAGACAGATGTAGTGTTTTACTGATGAGATAGTTGAGGTCAAAGGCTTTGAGGCTTGCCCAAGAGGCCTCCCAAATCTAGAGCAGCTTGGCTTAAAGGAGTCAGTGACCAGGGGTGGATGAGGCTGGAGTAGAGTACTACAACTAGGCAGGGCTAAAGCCCAGGGGAGAAGGTAGGCTGAGAGTCTTCATGCTGCATTAACCCAGGGAGGGACCTGTTCCTCCTTAATAATCCTGTAGGAAGTAGATTTTATCATAATATCAAGCTGATTTTTTTTCTGACCCTACTCTAGAAAAAAATAGTATTTTCCTAATAAAATTTTAGAAGCAGGGTGGCCTTTTTTTAAAAAAAAAAAACCCTCTATTTATTTATTTTTATATGGTGCTGAGGATTGAACCCAGTGCCTCACATGTCTTAGGCAAGCGCTCTACTAAGCTACAACCCCAGCCCTGGGATAGGTGACCCTTTAAAGGCACCATGACCAACTTTATCCTCTAAGAAATGGGCACATTGCCTCAGATTCAATATTAACAAAGGAACTTGCTTCTAATTCCTAGCTATACAGATGGGAAGCCCTTGTGAGGTTGCTCTTGGAAATCCTGTATGTTGAGAAGAGCCCCCTGGTGGCCACAGCAATAAACCGGCTTTACATAAGTGCTTAAGGTCTGCAAGAAGAAATGGACCAAAGTGGGAGAATCTTCTGCATTTTGATAACTGGATTATTTGTGGGAGACCTGGGAAATGGTGGAGTTGTGGGAAGTGTTTTCCTGGGACATTCAGCTATAGAGGACACACAGCACATGCATGGAACACTGGGAGGCTGTCACTCATCTATTTGAAAAATATTCATTGTGCATTGCCAGGGCCAGGTCAGATATCGTGATTGGACTCAAAGAGCTGTCAGCTTGGATAAAGAAAGACATGAAGGCCAACAATTTACATATGCTGAGATAAGCTCTAGCATGAGTTTGAAGTTTCTGGACCTCCAGGAACCCTAGAAATTCTTTTTACGGCATTAGAAGGGGATACCAGCTTTCTGGTCCCTCAGGCCTGGGACTGCACACTGCTTTAGCTTCTGTGTCAATTTGTCAGATATCCTGAGGAGGGAAATTGGGAAGATAGGGGTTTCTGTTATGAGTGAGTAGTTGGCCTCCAGCCAAGAGGAATTATGGATACGGGGGATGTATCTCAGTTGGTACTATAGCAGTTGCCTAACATGTGAGAGGTCGGGTTTGGTTCCCACCACTGAAAAAAAAAGTCTCACAGATGCTAGGAAGACCAGAAGAGATTCTGCATCCATGGGTCAGCAAGAATACTGAGTTAAAATGAAGGATGACAACTTGGCAGAATTTGAGAACTGAGACAAAAAGGAAAATGGTGACTGTACCTAGGAGGGACAAGGCAGGGCGGGGGGTTGGTGGGTAGAGATGTACACCCAGCTACTTGTGTCTGTGCCTTGAATGTGGCATTGTTGAGGTGCACAGAGATTGAAGCAATGAAGAAGATTAATTGAAAGCAGTAAATAAGAACCAGAGAGCCCTGAAAGCTTGCTGAGGGGATTTCAAACAAGAGCAGAGGTCTCTGGAAGCTGGCTGAGGGGATCTGATTTGTCCCTTGGTTAAGAAAAACCATTTAAAGAAGGTTTCTTGACACCATCCAGTCAGTTAGCAAGTCCTATGACTCCATTTTTCTCCTTCTCCGTTTTCCCCTCATCTTAGTCTTTTGGTCCCCAGGCCCTCTCCACACTTGAAAGAGCCCAAATAACACTGTTTTCTTCCTTCCTTCCCCCTTTCCTTCCTTCCTCCCTTCCATCTTGCTCCCCTCCCCTCTCTGTCTCTCTCTCTCTGTCTGGCTAGGCAAGCATTATCCCTAAGTTACATCTCCAGCCCTGTCAACCACTGTTCTTAACCATCTATCTACCACTGTCACCCAATCTCCCCAAGCTTCAAGTTCCTGACTTGCAAAGTAGAGATAGTCAAATCTGGAAGGTACTATTGTAAGGATTAAAGGAAATAATATATTAATTTTCTTCCTCTTGGTATTTGGATTCCAAATAACCTTTTTAGTCTCATCTCCCACATTATTTCTGTTTTCACTGCATAATCAGTGACATCAAATTCCACCAAACTCCAAAAATACTTCATGCTCTTTGATTCCTCCTAAGATTTATGAATGTTAATCCCTCTACCAGAAAATTCCTCTTTCCATTTCTCTGCTTGGAGAGCCTGGTACCTCCTCCAGCCAGAGGAGGTTATCCTCTGCCTTTGTTGCCAGACACCTGCAAGCTTTTTTTTTTTTCAGGTGTCTGGGTTAGATTCAGGCCAGACCTTCTCCCTATCCAGAGGTACCTTGGGGAGGGACTGGGTGATGCATCCCACCTTCTAGTCTAGAACCTAGCATGTACAAAGTGTCTTTAATGTTGTGATACATGAAAGAATTCATGAAAGGGAAGGGCCTGAGGCTGAGTTCTCTAGACAGACACAGGGGAGCCCTCCCCCAAAAAAAGCTGGCAGGGAGGTAGACTGTACTCATAAAACTAAGATCCCAAGTATCTAAAACCATAGGAAAAGCCAGCACAGGATTATAATGGGTAGAGTCCACAGAATTCAGAGAGAAGTGAAGACAGCAATTCCAATCTGGAAGCCAGAAAGAAGACTCTGAAGAATATGAAGAGATAAAGGACAACAGGGAAAGAGAACAGCAGGAAGAAAGGGCTCCACTTGGGTCTGACTGGTGGTGGACAGATAGACGATATGTGAAGTAGAGAAAAGAGTAAAAGTAGGAAGGTCCTAGAAGAGGCATCACCCCAACCCCATGCTAAACAGACCACATCACAGGAATTTGAAACTGCCACTTACTTTACCTTCAGGTTCAAACCTCAAGACACCATCTCAGAGGGAAAACAGTAATGTCTTTGAACAACTCTAAATTGACCACATGGGGAGGGGCCAGGTGGAGGAAAAGGAAATCTCTGTTCAGGACAATAATCTGTTTGAAGATGGCCCAGGATTCCCTATTTGGAGATGTGTGTAGTACCATGTGTATGCTCTGAGGTTGGTCAGTAATAACAGTCCAATAGGCTTGAGAGGAGATGTGCTAGTTGAGGGAAAAATGATCTATTTTATATAATTGACATTTCCATTTTCTGCTAGTTTCACTAGTGTAAGTGGGAGCAACGCCATTTTATCCAAGAAAGGAATGTGCAACAAAACTTAAAAAGAGAATAAATAAAGCAAATAAATTAATAAAGATTGCAATCACTATCAGTGTGGTCATGATGCATGTTGGATCCAAGGTGTCAGTATTGTTGGAGGCTCAGAACCCTTAACAAGGCTGTTTCCTGGATGCTCTCAGCCAATCCTTGCTCTGATTTCAGATATATAAGTCCTCTACTCACAGGAAGTCATTTGGGTGCTGTGAGAAACGACAGAAAGCATTCCCTCGCTCCTCACCTGCTTATTTGTGATTTGCAAGTCTCCTCTAACATATTTAACTTTCCCAAGGTTTCAATGACTGTTTTGTTCTCTACTGTATTCACATCACCCAGAGCAGTGCCTATGGTGTCTCAATGTATTTTTTGTTGAAAGAATCAATGAAGAACACTCCAGAAAGTCTGAGTTTCTAGCTGCCCTTTGGCTTTGCTGACTGAAGTTGCCACAGAGCATATCACTGCTGGTCTGTGGGCTGACTTTAAATGCACTTTCAGCTACCTAAATGTTACTTCTAGGAATTTTACTCTTCATATGTTATGACCTGGAAAGTTATTGGAGGGAAATACAGACCTGAATTCAGATGGCTAATTGCTAGCAGAAGGATGATTGATGTTGCCTTTGGCCTAAATAGTGAAAAAATATGCCAATCAGAAGCAACAAAAAACTGATGGCGCAGGGGGGGTGTGTATTTTGCCAAAAGAGGGCTGACAAATGCATCCTGCTGGCAGAGCCTTGAGACTTAACAGAGGCTTTCCAAAGCAGCAGTAGTTCTTG